CAGCTACTGCGGTCTGCTCCAACAACTTTTTTGCGTGCGTTGTACTGGCAAAGGGCTTCTTGGCTAGGGCGGCCTTGTTCACGCGGTCCTTCCGCTTGCGCAGTGTTGATCGACCAATCTTGAAAAGGCTATCGTTTTGCTCGAGCTCCGGGATGTAGCTTCCCAAGTGGTGCTCGACTAGCTCCTTCGGCATATGCATCTCCTCAGCGATGCCGAAAATGAAGTGCTGCCTGGCCTGGACGTCTGGAATACCAGCGACGAAGCAGTCAATGGCCTCCTTGAACATGTTCATTCGAATAGTGTCAGTGACAGGTTCCTCGCCAGTTTTGCAGCCTGCCTCGTGTAGTGTAGCCGCAAGGCGTCTGCACCACCGCAATAGATCTCGCAAGCTGGTTTGACGGTCGGCCATGCCGCGGCTGGACAAGAGGGGAACGTTGCCGGACATTGGCTTTGACAAGCGCTTGTATACAGCGAGAATACCAGGCGCAAACTTGTGTAAGATGGGGTGGGACCCAACAATGATGTCCTGTAGCTCGGTCTCTGTGGGAGTCTGTACCGAGAGTAGTTGCCAGAACCGCATGCCCAGGAGATTAGGCAGCGTCTCACGACCATGCATGCCGCGTGAACTTCTCACCGTGCCAAAGAGACGGAATCCGTTGGCAGCCTTGATACGCTCACCTCTGCTCGGGATGAGGAGCTCGCCGCGCTCGATCAGGGGGAGAAGTGTGCTGATGACTTCGTTGGGTGCTCTATCCAGGTCTTCGATAAGAACCCAGCGACCTTCTCTGACTGCAGTTGTCAGCACACCGGCTCTCCATGAAAAGGTTCCAGGTTTTGAGTCGGTTGAATAGAGTCCAATGAGCATCTTTGCGTCTGTTTGCTCATTGATGTGCAATGTCACCATCTCAGAATGCTTTCCAAACTCCTTTGCAACTTCATGAACAAGTGAGGTCTTTCCAGAGCCGGGCAGGCCATGAAGGAGAATCGGGCTTGCTTTCTTCAGGAGGCCAGCCAGACTCTCAAGGTTTTTGGTGGTAGTGGACGTTAGCACAAGGGACGAATTCTTGTCGACCGGTCCAGACGGTCTCGGCAGTATTGTCTTGCCGTAGCACGCAACATAGGGAGTGAGTGATTGCGGTGGAAAAGAGTGGATTTCATTGCTCTGTGAAGCATCGCAGAGCTCCCGGCGCAGGGTTGATACCTGCTTGATCCGCGCATCTTCATACAGACTCAGGAACCCGTAGTCTACCTCGCGCCCATCAAAGTCAGCGAGGACGGCCTCCGTCGCCCCGACGTACTCGGTGATGAGAGCCTCCAGCTTTGAGTCGGCAGCGCGAAGGAGCTGGGTGAAAATTCGGATGGCCAAGTACCGGACGGCGCGGCTCTCATGTGAGAAGAGAGTTTGCATGTGTGTTGGTGAGACCAGGATGCCGTATGTCCTTTGATCGAAACAGACGAGCCGCCATGCTGCTAATAGTAGCTTCAGAAGGTCGGAATCTTGTGTGGGAGAAAAAGTGGTGAGTTTTGGGAATCGGAGGGTGAGCGTCTGGATGGTATCCGGTGTCGTTTTCGTCAAGTCGTCTGTCATGACATACTGCAGGAACTCCGATAAATACGGAGCAAATGGTAATATCCTCGCGACAGACGCAAGGATTTGTCTATTCTTGCCATTGACGGCTTGGTTGTCGAGGTTGAGGAGCCAACGGGCGCAGATATCAGGAAAGACATTCTCAAAGTGAATGAAAATTCGGTCTGTAAGTTGGGGAATGAGAGCAGCCTCTGCAACGGCGTCGAGGAGGCGTGATGAGGTGTGATTTCTGATAACCTCTAGTATTTCGGTAGGTAGATGCTCCAGAACGGTCGCGTCGTTCAGGAGAGCGCTCCTCTGCGTCGACACGTCTACGGAAACCATGGTTGTGGCTCAATTATGAGATATGTCGACGGCGGTGATGTTCATGGATGGCCAATTTGCAGGTACCTCCAACTTTTTTTTTTTTTGGTCTGTACTCCAAAGAGAGAGAGGACCCTTTCTCAGCGCGCGCCAGCCAAAAGGCAACTTTTTTTCCCTTTGATGGGGCCCGCCGCAGTGTGTTGGACAGGGGTCCCTGCAGTGTAGGCACTCCACGGAGCGGAAGGCGGCGCTACAGAGCCCCCGAGCCAATCAAAGTGGAGACGACTCTGCACCATTCACGCGACTGGTACCACCTCATTCGCAGGAGCTCGAAAAACTTCAAGCCCAGAAGATATCCCGAGCTAAGAAACCTCCCTGTTGCTTGAGGCCGAACTCGATTCTCGACGACAATCCGCTCCGCTCAACAACGCCAATTGGCCTCGTCTCCTCCCGCATTCTTCATATCCTCACACGACAACTACACACAATGGCCCTCTCTTGCAGATTCGCAGCCCAGAGCTGCGCCCGTCAGCTCCGTGCCACCGGCTCGATGCGTGCCTCGACATCCCTCTTCCAGACCCGAACTCCCGCAACCGCACGAAGGTACAACTCGACCGAGGCCGCTGCCCCCACGAACCCCAAGATCGCCGCCATTGTCGACCAGATTAGCACCCTTACTCTCCTCGAGACCGCAGACCTTGTTTCAAGCTTGAAGGTTAGTTGAAGAAGCAGTGACGAGCGCAGTTTATCCCCCAATCGATTCGTCATAGGCATTCAGGGGAAAAAGAGATCATGGGCCAAATTCTGACTCTCTCAATCGCAGTCCAAGCTCAACATCCCCGATCTCCCCGTCGGTGGCTTCGCCGCCGCCCCCGCAGCAGCTCCCGCCGCTGTTGAGGAGGCTGAGGAGGCCGCACCGGCGGCCGCCGAGAAGAGCGTCTTCAACATCAAGCTCCAGGCCTTCGACGCCGGCTCCAAGCCCAAGGTCATCAAGGAGATCAAGAACCTGTTGGGTCTGAGCTTGGTGGACAGCAAGAAGTTCGTCGAGAGCGCGCCGAAGCTGATGAAGGAGAACGTGGCCAAGGATGAGGCCGAGAAGATCATCGCCGCCATGAAGGAGCTTGGCGCCACCGTCACCATGGAGTAAAAGGGCCCTGATGGCTGGTTGAGGCCTGGCTGGCTGATGTAGACTGGAGCGCGGCCCCTCTCCTTGGGAGGAGATGTAAAACTCGGGGGGAGCATTGTGTTGTCGGACATCTGGGTTCGGATTGGTCTAGACGGACGTGTATGAGTGTATAAACACCCATGTAACAATATTATCACAAAGACATACACCACCTTTTTTGTATTGCCATACAGAACGGTCTTCTTTTGCAATTCCTGATTATGCCTCAAGCTACCCAAAAAATACTTGGCCAACGTTGATAAAGACCTTGACCCTAGTGCTACCTGTGGAATTTGTCGTGTCGCGAAACCTGACCCTCGAACGCCCAATTTTTTCCATCCTTTCCCCCGAAACGCCAAGGTATGCTTTGGAAGAGAACCCGCAAGTTCTCACTCAGTTCTTCTTTCCATTCGTAATGCGCGTACTAGCAGGACCGACCGGCGGCTTAGGAGGACACGAGTGCTTCATAGCCTGAGAGCACTCGGCAAACTCCTCCTCGCCCAGGATGTGGTCGTCGTCGCCGAAATCGCTCGTCTCATCCCAAATCTTGTCAATCTCTGCGTTCCCGTGCGGCGGGATGGCCCATATGCTCTCGCGCAGCCGCTTGTGACGCTCGCGGTCCTCCTCGATGCGCTGCTCAATCTGGCGCTTCTCCAGGCGCGCGGCGGGTCCCCGGCCGTTAGCCGGCATGGCGTGGCTGGGAGGCGCGTCGCCTATCTCGATGTCGCCGTTGACGGGGGACGAGAGGCCCGCGTCGTGGGCGCTCGTCTCGCGCTCCTTGAGGACTTCTTCGATCTCTGTTACTGTGCGTGCCTCGAGGAAGTCCTTGTCCTGGAGGCCTCGGAGGACCTGAAATTTTTGCTCTCATGTCAGTTTTTACATGAAGCTTGTGCGGGACCGTGGGATCAGAGAGGGAACTCACTCTTCGGACGACCTTGACGTTGGCGGCGCCAGATCCATCATCGGGGGCGACGGCATCAACGATGCGAATGATGTCGCGCTGCATCATGCGGACGTAGTCCATGTGCTTGTCCTTCTGTGCCATCTCAAGGAAATGCTCAATGAAGTACATGATATTGGCGCGCGTATTCATGTTGTTCTAAAAAGAATCATAATCAGCCCATTATCTCATAGTTTTCTCACGTAGATCACACTCACTCGCTCCAGTTGCTCGAGGATACAAGAGTGCAGATCCTCGTCCATATCCTTGTACTTGAGGGCATACTGAGCCGCCTTCTGAGCTGAAGTAACGGACGCATTCAGATGCTGCAGGGAGCTACTGAAGCGCATTCGAACCTCGAAAGGGTCCGCCATGCTGCGCTACGGCGAACTTCGGTCCCGGTTCTGATCTTGATCTAAATTTGAATTGAGCGGACCGGGTCTGGGGTGAGAGTTCGGGATGATGTTGAAAAAGCGGCTGGTGATGCTGGGGCTGAGTTGAGGCTTGTTCAATGGCACCCGAATCCGAGCTGTCACTCTTTCCAACTGAATTCGCTGGGGGAGTTTCCCACAGGTACACCCTGTGCTGTTGCCTCCATTTTTGGGTGTGTTCTCACTGCTTTGGTGCGGTAAGCACTGTGCGAATCTAGGGGGATACTAAGCTAAGCAGAGTTGGGCTTAGCGCTGAAGAAAAGCCAAGTCCAGTGGACGAAAAGCTGTGGACGGACGATATCGGAACAGTGGAGAGCTTCTTTTTCTGCAAAAGGAGGTGGAAAATATTATTAGCAAGGGGATTCTTTAACTCAGCCTTCATCTCCTATCTTTGTCTGATAAACTTTGTTTTTGCAACCCAAAGCGACCCTTTCTCCGAAACTGAGCTTGTCCATATTGCTCTAACTTTCTGTTGTTTTTTCTTGGACTATAAATTAGAAGCACCATCCTTGGCGCAATAGGAATCCATCACTTACACCGCATTCTCATTTTCTCTCATACCGCGTCTTCATCATGTCTGTCATGGGAGAACACAGCTCTTCGGAGCTCACCATGACCGTTCTCGGTTGTGGTAAGTAAAGAAATATCTTCTGCAAATAATGAGATGAAATATTCTGACTCTCAACAGGAACCATGGGTATCGCCATCCTCAACGGCATCTTCACTTCCCTGCTGGAGATGCAGGCTCCCAAGCCTCTCCAGACCCTCCACACTCCTTCGGCATCGGGCACATCCACCCCCTTGGGCGACGAGGTCCCCCATCGCCTACCATCCCGCTTCATCGCCTGCGTCCGTCGCTCCGACAGCGCCAAGAAGGTGAAGAAGGCGCTGTGGGAGCACTCCTCCATCCTCAAGGTCGTCCAAAACGACAACGTCAACTCCGTCTCCCAGTCCGACGTCGTCATCCTCGCCTGCAAGCCTTACATGGTCAAGGACGTCCTCAGCGAACCCGGCATGACCCGCGCCCTGCACGGCAAGCTCCTGATTAGCATCTGCGCCGGCCTCACCGAGGAGCACCTCGAGGAGATCCTCCACGGCGCCGTCCCGACAAAGGACCCCGAGGAGGATGGCCGCTGCCGCATCATACGCGCTCTCCCCAACACCGCCTCCCTCATTCGCGAGAGCATGACCGTCATCGGCGCGCCCACCTACCCCTTACCGCGCGAGGCCGCCAACCTCGTTACCTGGATCTTCAAGCGCATCGGTGACGTCGTCTACCTGCCCGCCGAGAACATGGACGTCAGCACCGCCCTCTGCGGCTCCGGCCCAGCGTTTTTCTCGTTGGTTCTCGAGGCCGCCATCGACGGCGCCGTCGCCATGGGTCTCCCGCGCGCCGAGGCCACGAGGATGGCGGCGCAGACTATGAAGGGCGCCGCGGGCTTGGTCCAGAACGGTGACCACCCTGCTCTCCTCCGCGATAAGGTTACTACGCCTGGCGGATGCACTATCGGTGGTCTTTTGGTGCTCGAGGAGGGTCGTGTGAGGGGCACTGTCTCACGTGCCGTGCGTGAGGCTACTGTTGTTGCCGGCCAGCAGGGCCAGGGCATTCAGGGGGTGAACGGCACTCGTTTCGTTTCGCAGTCGGGATATCCTCAGTTCTGAGATGGTTGGAAAAGCTCATAGATTTCTGCGCAAAAGTACATAATGTACAATCCTCATGAATAATGAAGAAATATTTGTTATCTATCTTGATTCATCTGGCCATCATCGTATTTACTCACTTCTCCCGCCCAATCAACCTCTGGTTGAATGCTGCCATTCGAGATGATACAATTCTAAAGAAGAAGAAACAGCAAAGCCACTACGACATTTAAGCTGTCTCAAGCATCCATTGCCCTGATTAGGGTAGGATCTGAAAGTTATCAATGGCAGTCGCAGTCCTTTACTCTCCATTTCGGCATCTTGTACTTCAAACCAGAAAGAGGAGTAAAAGCATGAAACAGAAAATGGTTTTAATGATAGATCCCATTCAACTTATGTATAAACAAAATTGTAAAAGCTCGGTCCCCCCAACACTAAGGTACGTTGATCTCGGGAATCTGAATCACATAATAATGACACTATATTACGCTATGCAGTATGTATGGGTTCACACGATACTGAACGGAAAGCTGCGTGGCTATTATACTTTACATTTGGGCTAGACACCCGGGTCCACCCCTCCAATCTATCATCCCTATGGTAGTCGCCTTTCTTCGTCCATGTCTATCGCTAATAATTGTGTGGGTTGCATTGGCCTCTCATGACCACCATTTACACCATCTTACAGTCGCTATTCTCTTTTAACAAGTCCATGATGATGTCTTTCCCTCCTCTACTGACTGACGCACGACTTCATATCCCACAACGCTCAAAACCGAGAAATATCCCTTCCAAAAACCCAGGTGACGAACCAGTACACCGGGACCAGAATCTTGTTCCGAATACTCATCGACTTGGTCAAATAAGCACACCGCCACAGAATCCAAGCTGCACAGCACCTCGTTAGCCCATTCAGATCCCACTGCCTCCAAGAGTACAGTATAACATACCTGCTCTCCCCTTCAACTCATCCGCAGAACTCTGATGAATAGCACGCCAGCTACCCAAGTACGCCATGGCCCCGAGATTCCGGAACTTGAACGGCTTTCCCTCCTCTGGTCCAGCCGCCTGCTTGTTGAGCGCCTTGGCGAGGTACTTTGCCTGCTGACTGGCAACCTGGGCCGTGGCAGGCAGCGTCTGGCCCTCGAGAACAGAGCAGTCGCCCATGGAGTACACGTCCGGCAGCACGGCGCCCTCGTTCTTCGGATCGTCGAGGCGGACCCTCAGATGCGCGTCTGTGACGATACCACCGCTCCGCTCCGCCTTGAGAATCCTGACCATCTCAGTACTACCACCAGCACTCTGGTCTTCCGTAGCAGTAGCAGCAGCGACATTCGGGTTCCGCAACTCCTTCTTCATCAGCGTCTGCACGAGCGGGTTCTGCATCAGACCCGTGCTCCACACCACGATGCCCGCGCCGACCTCCTCCTCGCCGTGCTCCTGAATCTTGAGCCGCAGCGCGCCGCGCGGGTCCGTCTCGTCCGGGCGGATGCGCTGCAGGTGGTGGTTGGTCTTTACTTTGATGCCCTGGCGGCGGAAGAGGTCCTCGGCGTAGGAGGCCAGCTGCTGGTCAAACATGGGCAGGACCTTGGGCGCGATGTCGTAGATTGTGATGCCGACGAATTCCATCAGGTGCGGGTAGAGCTTGGAGAGGTCGTCGTGGATCAGGTCGTGAAGCTCGGCGGCGAACTGGGCGTGTGTTAGTGACGAAATATTTGGGGGAAAAGGAGATTGGGTGTAACTCACCTCAATACCCGTCGGTCCTCCGCCAACGACAGCAAAGTGAAGCAGCTTCCTCCTCTGCTCATCCGTCGTCGTCGGCCAATCCGCCTTTTCAAAGCACTGCAGCACCCTCAACCGAATACTTCTCGCGTCCCCGATATCCCTCAAGAAATTAGCATACTCCTTCACGCCCTCGATCCCAAACGTCTGCGAATACGACCCGACCGCCACAACAAGCTTATCATACGCGACATCAACCACCTCGCCCTTAGCCCGCGCGTACGCATCCCGCGCCGGCAATGTCTTGGACGTGGCGTCCTCGGAAGTAACCTTTTCGACACGGATCACTTTCCGCGTGAAATCCACGTCGTCGGCCCAGGCCTGGTGGAAGGCGTCGAGCTCCAGACGGCGGACGGGCTCGAGGACGGAGCGGAACTCGAGGGTGCCGACCGAGGTGGAGGCCAGCAGGGGGGTGAAGACGAAGTAGGAGCGCGGGGAGATGAGGATGCGCTCGTATTTTTTTGGGTCGAGCTCGCGGGCGAAGGCGTAGCCTGCCCAGCCTGAGCCCAGGACGACGACTCTTTCACGTTTTGGTTCTGCGGAGTGTGTGTTAGTGGGTGTTTCGTTGCGATGCCTATGATAGGTGTACAAAGGGTATGATTGCACAAAGAGTTGAGGGCACAAGTCAATGAGACGGATGTGTACCTGTCGGCGAGCTCGAACTCGTGCTGTTGCGATGGTTGACGAGACTCGTGTTAGTCAGAGCCTCAACCTGCAACGCCGTGCCGGCCGGCCCCCGGCGTCCGGGCCGGGCCAGGCTCCTCCAATATTGTTGTGCAACTTTCGATGAGGCCATGATGAGGTTACAATCACACCACCTAAGAACCAACAGTAAAGAAAACGGGGGTCTAGCAGTTGGCTATATAAAACGCCGCAAAGGCCCTTCCCACTCAAACGACCCAGCCCACTCCTTCCTCTGACTCCCCTAGTTCTCCGAACCCGTTGTCTACGGCCGTTCTACGGCGGTGGGTTAAATCCGATGGCCCAACGCAGGCGTTTGGCCCTTGGGGGGGCTCCTGGGCGGCGTTGACTGTTGGGAAAGGTGGGCACGATAATGGCTCGGGATGGGGATCGAGGGCGCTCGGTGTATCGGAGACTTGCCAAAGAGCGCGTGCTAATACGGGACGGGTCGGGGATCGGGTGGCCCTGGCATCAGGGAAAAAAAAAAAAAAAAAGTCCCGGGACCAGTGAGTCAATGCGCTTATTTCGTTCGCTCGACAAGCGGAATGGTAGATCCAAGGAATCGAAGTCAAGGGGAAGGTGGTTCTTTTTGGACAGTAGAATTAAGGTTGATTCTTGTCTAACTCAATTACATCTTTTCCTCACGTCACAATGCTTATAGGCGCCTTGGTAACACCTACTAACACGGCGCCGACGGAACGAGTGACGTCCTCCGTCTCCACTTTTGCCCGTCCGGCGGCCCCGGCGTGGCGTTCCCGCTTTTTCTTTCCTTTGATTGTCCAAATGACGTCCCTAAAATTTCACTTTTTGTTTTCGCATGCATCGAATAAGGTACATGAGACGGGGTGGGATTGTCCGCACAAATCTCCGTCCGTAGAAACTGTCCCACACGGCTCCGGGTCGCTCTCCCTCTCTCCATTTTTGGTCTAACCTTTCTCTACTGCAGCATAGAGTCCAAGCTTTCGCCAAGGACTCCCTCGATCTTGACGATCCATTGGTGCGTCTCCCGCTCGACGGTCTCGTCATCGTCGTCCTGGAGCTCGCTGATGTAAGGGAGCATCTCAGGCAGTGCCGACAGCCACTCCTCGCCGAGCTTCTCGGCAAGCTGCTGTTGGCACCTGACGGCCGCCAGACGGATGGGCGCGTGCTCGGAGCGGAGGTGGCGCAGGATAGCCGTGTTGAGCTCCTTTTGGTGCTCCTGCGAGTCCGCCGCCGAGGCCAGCTCGACCACCGCGGGAATGAGCTCGCCAGTCAAATCGAAGGACGAGGAGGCGTGGAGGAACTGCGCTGTCAAGACGGGAGCGACCTTGCCAAAGTGGGCGGGCGCCTGCCAGAAATCGTCCTGGTCGTGCTCGAAGCACCTCGCCAGCGTAGACAGCACGCGCTGCCAAAGCTCCTTTTGCTCGGGCAGCTTCAAGTCGGTGCCGTTGATGATCTCGACGGCGTCGTCCACAATGTAGGTAGCGTAGTTGGTGACGATGGACTTGAGGCCCTCGAAGAAGACCTGGAGGAACCCGTAGACGCTGAAGCGGCGCAGGGTACGTCCTGTGGCGTCTTGCTTGGGCAGCTGTGTGGACCATTCGATGATCTGGGTGAAGATGGGCCTGAAGGCCGCGTCGTTGAGCTTGTAAATCATCTTGAGCGTAACGTCATTGATGGAGGCCTCGATCTTGGCAACATATTGAGCTGTCGCGTTTGTGAGCTTGCCCTTGATGTGTTCCCGTCTGCGAAGGTCCAAGGAGTTGAGCAGGATTGTGGACAAGGTAGTGACGTTCTTGGTGACAACCGATTTGGGCTGGCTATCAACCACAACTCCAAAGATGTCGACCCATTCCTCGGTGGCCTGCGTGCTTGTTAGTAGGGCTTTGCAAATCTTTCTGGGCAAACAACTTACGTCGAAACCAGCCTCGGCAGCCGGAATCCAGTTCTTCTGCAGGCTGGCCAACATCGTCTTGGCCTCAACCTTTCTGGCAAGGAATCTGAGACAGTTGATGCGCTCATCGTCGGCTTCGTTATCCAGGTTAGCCTCGGCTGACTTGTTGGAAGCAAGTAGGATATTATCCAGGTGCTTCTCCGAGATCATGTAAGACAGGTGCTGCGCGAGAGCAGTGATGAATGCAAATGCCGCATTGTGCAGTTCGTTGGCGGCCTCGTCATTCTCCACGCTCTGCTCGATGTAGAGAATTGCCTGAGAAATGGCAATGTTGACAATAGGCAGAATACCGTCTTGAAGCACATCGACCAAAGAGGCAAGGCAAAGCAATGCCATAACACGGAGGCTAACATCGGGCTGGCCGAGGCAGTGGGGTCCGGCGATGGTTGCTGCCGCACCCGCGACTGCCTCGATATCCTTCTTGCCATACTTCTCTGCGATTTTGTCGATGCAAGAAACGGCAGTGTGCTTGTACTTGAGGTCGTCCGTGTCCCGGATCGCGGCGGTGAGCTGCGGCAGGAAAGCAAGAAGTGCCGTTCTGGAGGCAACGTCCGCAACACCCTCCTGGTCCACGCGGACCTCGAGGGCACGGAGGACCTTGCGACGAAGGTCGATTTCGGTACGG